TACTTCTAAAGACATGTATTATTAAAGCCTTAAAACGAATTTTGTATTACTTTTATTGTTTTCCTAAAAAAAATTCCCAAAGTTACCTATGATTTTTAGGCGCTCAAGGTAGTGTAATCCCTTAAGTATATACTTACAATATATACAATATATACTTACAAATAATAAATCAAAGAATAGAAGGAAAAAGTCTTCATTTCTTGTTGAAAATTGCATCACCAAATAACAGGAAATTTGCGATAGTTTACTTGCCATTTATTACTTTATGAAGATATGTCATTTCATTCACAGCATTATAGGTCAAACCACCATGTTTTGCTAATATTTCATCGATTTCTTTGCAAACTTTGTCCTGTATATCTTGATGTTGAGCTAATTCGTATAGAGCGAATGTGGCTGTCGTCGAGCTCGTTTCAAATCCAGCTATGAAAAAGATAAAACTTTGTGCAGCAGCTTCTGCCATAGTAAGTTTGCTTACAGTTGCTGTGGATAAATAATATAATATAATTTTGTTAGTAATCGCATGTAGAAAGAGAAACACGTTAAGAAGTTTTAATTATCTTATATATATGTATATATGTATAACACACATATGTATATATCACAAATATATGGACACATACACATTTAAAAAGAAAATTAATTATTTGATTTACAAAAGTGAAACGTGAGAAAATATAAATACATATTCAAGATACATAAAGAAGCTATTGTGAAAATGTATAAATTAATATATAATGTATATATATTAACACGACATATTGGTGGCTTCCTTGTCATCATCAGGTTCAACATAGCCCCTCTCCATAAGTTGAATGAGCAGATTCATAAAATCGTGTCTGACCATGTTATGAGATTGTCTGTGTTCTACATTTTCTCGAAACATGTTCATATAAAAACTGGTGACGTTTCTATTTATGAGGGGGACGGAAAAGAAATCCATAATTTGTGGCACAAACACATACAGGGCGATCCAAATTGGATTTATATCAAAAATTTTTTTTGACTGGATTCTATACTCATTATTAGGCTCCTTAATACAATTAGATTTAATACCAAAAGCCGTTGACATAATTATATCCGTTGAATACCTATTCGTAAAATTAAAAAATAATTAATAAATTTTAAATTCTTCCCAAACTTAAACAATTTTTTTTTTGTGAAACGTCAAAGGTCATGAAAAACTTTACGAGAATAAATTTGTACGGCTAATTAAAGAAAGCTTACTAATTCATAAATGCTTTGAATAAATAATACTAAAAATACTAAAAATCCAGAAAAAATGGAGCTTTAAAATGGAGATTAGAAAAGATTTTTAGATATGTAAAAAAGATCTTTATGATATTTGTATATTTTCTGCAATAAAAATATTAAAATCAATTTTGTAAAAGTTTCAAATAGTATTAATTGTTAACTATAAATTGTTAATTGAAATTATTAATTATAAATTATTCACAATTGTTAGGTTAAAAATAAGGTAATGTAAAGTTTTTTAATCTTCTAATTATAAGATTCGATAATGATCAATGATTCATTGAGATATAATAAATTTAGAAAACGTTTGTAATGTAATAACATTAATATGTTGTACTTCATAATTTGGAATATTAAAAAGATAACATTTTGACACTTTATTAAAGTAAACTAAATCTTAAAATGGTCAAAATTTTTTTTAAAGACGATATTTGTTGGCGAATCTGCTGCTTATTCTTTCCTCATCACCGTTACGTTTCCACAAACAACTTCTACTTCTAATAAATCAGTTACTATTCTTTAACGTGCAGGATTTTTTTGTTTAAAAGACAATTTGCTTAAAAATAATTTACCTTGCAAATATATCTTTCATCTCGATGGAATCTTTTATCTGCGCTTTGCTCTCTAGATACTTTGCAAGTTCTTCACTACACTCTTTTAGGATCGAGAACATCTGCTTTATTTTTCCCGAAGTAAAAGTGGGCGTCATCTTGACGCGCATATTTCTCCATTTCTTCCCAGATATAAGAAACAAATGGTTGGACAATGGGTCGATCTTTTCGTTACAATACATTCCGCGGTCATGGAAACTTCCGAATTCCTTAGTCAACACCATTCGAATAAGGTCGAGATCGTTGATCACCA